GTTTAACCCCATTTCTCTATGAGGGAAATTTTTCCCGGGCAGCGGCACTACGGCCTACTCTCATATCGAATTCCATCGATTACCCGACCTCCAGGCTAGCGAGCCAGCGTCTTACCCACTTAGCCACGTGATCCCCGCATGGTACTACAACTTATACCCTAACTTTGTATGTTGTTCCGAATGGATAAAAGGAAACAAGAAGGACTGTGATTGGAAATCTGGAGAATCGACAACATGGTTTCATAAAATGTATGGCTGGATCGACAATGCTGCCTACTAGTGCACGGTCCACAAGACCGTTTACAATGGGGGTCCGCATTCCACATGTAAGTCGTGTAAAATGCAGTGAATAAGAGGACAAAAAGAGAGAAAATCAACTTTAAGATTGCGATATGAAAATTCAAATGCCCAGAAATCTGTCTCCACTCCCTGGAGAATTATCCCAACAAAAGATGTAATTTATTTATAAGAACAAGCGATTCGAGCGATATTAATTCACCCATGAGAACATCTAACGCCATTGTTCATGTCGCTTAGCCCGGAATGCAACCCAATGGAGTATGTATTCCAATCGAAAGATCGTCAGTTCTTGTTCATTATTTTTTTAAATGGGTATCTAGAGGGTAGACTTTTAGCTTAAAACATCCTGACATTTGTGGTCACGGTTCTTGAAACATCAATCATGTCCATAATTTATTGACAGAAGTAGCAACTAGAGCGTGGACTTTTAACTTGGATCATTCTGGCACTTCAGGTCATTGTTCCCGGTACCATAAATGTTAAATATTACGTTGTAGATCACGTGTGGAGTTTAGTAGGAATGGTGACCCATATATATTATGTGAACTACTCATAAATGAAATAAAATGGGGTTTAACGCCCCACATTGGGGATATTAAAGACGGGCATACAGTGTGCTGTAAAGGAAATTTTCCCCGGACAGCGGCTCTACGGCTTACTCTTATATTCAATTTCAACTGTCAAGGGATCTTTTACTTGCACGCCAATGTATACACATGACCTCGGTTTTTCGTTCCATAATGTTGAATTCCCCATTAATGTTCAGATATAATATCTAAATTAGAAAAAGAAATGAATTCATTCAAAGACCGTCTGTCAAACTAATGAAACTTGCATAAACCGATTGACTGGTCGGTTCAATGCACATTTTTAGTACCGTCTGAACAACTAGATGCTTTTCCTTTGCAGACCATTCCGGGAACATTTCTCGGCTAACATCTGGATCGAAACCTGGATCGCCTGGTTAGTTAGCCAGTGCCTTACCCACTGAGACACATGATGGACAGGTCGATCACAAAAGTTAAATGGGTGGTAACTAGTGCTATCCCGGGAACATCTAGATCGAAACCTGGGCCGCCTGGGGAGTTAGCCAGCGCCTCACACACTGAGCCACATGGTGGACAAGTCGATCACAGAAGTTTAATGGGTGCTAACTGGTGCTAATAGCAGCTCAAACTGATTAGCCGTGAATATTCGTTAAGCGACTACAATCATTGAGTGGGATGACATCGGTGCGAGTTAATTAGCTCACAATAAAAACTATTATTAACTTCTATTAACTAAAAATTAAATTCTAAAACACTTTTTAGAAGTGCTCATCATTCGTGATCTGTGGCTAACTGACCCGGAGCAAACCCAAGAGGTCATACAGGCGAACTTACTCCACGCCTGTACAGATGTGGAATCGAATCCGAGCCAGGATTAGATAATTAAACCACGAACCACGTAACATATTATACAACCGAAAGGATATTCTAATTTTCAAATATATTTCAAATGGCTTTTAATGTCTTCCTTGCTGGGGTTTAACATCTACACACAATGGTGATATCGCAGATAATTATTTTTTTTATTTCCGTTTATATTCCGCATTTTGTAATTAATCGGATTTCATTTTATATCTGATACGAATGTTTGAATATTTGATGACCACTTGAGTTCCTCATGTTGATCCACGGCTTGTTTTACAGTAATATTATATCTAGTGACAGTACGATACAATGTTTATCCTGACGTAATGTTTGTATGAGAGAGAGAGAGAGAGAGAGAAAGAGATGACACAAACTACGTCATTTCGTGACTAAAGTATGGTTCAATTCGCCAGTTGACTCAATGACAGGCTTTATGATACAATGCGCACGCGATAACCATTCGGCAATCCACCCCCGCCCAAATTTACACCCAATTCAACCTACCCGCCCCTCCTTTCCTCTCCTCTGCTTTCCCATCCACGAATTGAAGATAGTATCCTGTTTATTTTTTTTTCGAAAAATTAGTTATATTTGACACCCATATCAGACATTTACATTTTTGACGTTGACATGACATTTAACACGAACATTGCACATTGAAGTTTTATGGCGTTGACATCCGACACCAATTTTTGACATTAATATTTTCCGACGTTAACATTTGACATTACATTGGGCATTACCGTTTTTTGGCTTTGACAGTTGTCACCAAAAATGGACGTTAACGCTTTGTGTCTCGGTTGACATCATCAATATGTTGAATTCTTGAAATGAAATGAAATGCGGTTTAACGTCCTACTGTTCTACTGAGAACTGGGCTAATGGAGACGGGCATATGCCATACAGTGCGCTATAAGGGAAATTTTGCCTGTACAGCGGCAGTACAGCCTACTCTTATATCGAATTCCAAATGTCAATGGATCTTTTACGAGCAAGCCAATGTGTACACAGGACCTCGGTTTTTCGTTCCATAATGTTGAATTCCCCATTAATGTTCAGATATAATATCTAAATTAGAAAAAGAAATGAATTCATTCAAAGACCGTCTGTCAAACTAATGAAACTTGCATAAACCGATTGACTGGCTGGTTCAATGCACATTTTAAATTGCGCTGCATTCTGTTTTCAAACAGTTTCTGCCGAATGAATTGCGCGTTTCAAGGATATCGAATGTGCTACTTGTAATCTTCAATGACTACAATTTAATTCGTTTAATTGATTGACGTCAGACTAACAGACCACTGAATATGTACAAAGAGAGATTAAAATCGGCGTAATAAAATTCTCATTAAGATATAGTTCGATTTAGAAATAGACGAATAATATATTGAGTCGATAAATTTCAGATCGATGGCGATCGGCAAATGGCACACGGTTATTGAAAGAGCTCCTCAGTTGCTTTCACAAACGTTGATTAGAAAGGACTTACCATAAATAATGTCAGATGATTAATGAATCGACGGATTATTATTATTAGGATATTTTTGTTTGCGAATGGATTAAGGATTATTATTAACAACTAACCAACAGGTACATGTATGTATTATACTGTTATTTTTGTTTATAATTTCAAGATATGGTATTAAACATTTTTTTTTTTATATCCACGTTTTCATTAATACTGAAATGAAATGAAAAGTATACATATAAAAACATGAAAACTTATTATTTGAAAATGTATATGATATAATTATTAAGTTTTCCATGGCTCTTTCCACGTTAAAATGTGTCAAAATTGAAATTTTAACAATAAATTAAAAAATATAATGTCGATGGTTGATGAAATGAAATGGGGTTTAACGTCCTACTGTTCTGCTCCTAAACTGGGCTAATGAAGAATGGCATACGCCATACAGTGTGCTATGAGGGAAATTTTGCCCGGGCAGCGGCACTAACGCCTACTCTTATATCTAATTCCAACTGCCAAGGGATCTTTTACGTGCATTCCAATGTATACACGGGACCTTGGTGTTTCGTCTAATCCGAAGGACTAGACAGCTGTCCTTGTCAGGCCCTCCGTTCTGCACCTCTGACAAGGGGAAACCACGTCGGAAAATCGGGATGAACTTTCTCGGCCAATGCAAGGATCGAACACCCGACCTCCAGGCTAGCGAGCCAGCGCCTTAACCACCTAGCCACCGTGGCTCCCTCGATGGTTGATAATCGTCGGATTGGATTAAAATAGATTAAAAAGAGGCCATACAGTGAAGGTTACTAGTAAGATGTCGTTTGAACATGTCCCGTATATATCGTCTAAAGAATGGGGTGGGGTGTCAAAATATTGACTATTTCTCAGTTCACTATATCTTTGTTCATACTGAACGAAATTAAAGGATTTTTGACCGGATATTTTGTTTAAAGACTCGTTGTTCACAATATTTTAATGAAATGCAATGAAATGGGGTTACCGTCCTACTATTCTGCTCCGAATGGGCTAATGAGACGGGCATGCACCATGAAGTGGGCTATGAGAGAAATTTTGCCCGGCGCCACAGTCAACGGATCCTTTACGTGCACGCCAGTATGTACACGGGACCTCGGTTTTTCTTACTATCCGAACGACTAGACAGCTTTCCTTGACAGGCCCTCCGTCCTGCATAATTGACATGGAGAAACCAGCCGGAAAATCCCGATGAACTTTCTCGGCCAACACCGGGATCGAACCGGAACCGGCAACCTCCAGACCAGCGTCTTAAATGTCACTTTTAAATGTCATGCATGCGTAACACACAATTAACCGGTCTGCAATTCAAGACGAAATTACGGTACATAGTATCTGGTCAAATATGAAATTTGTTCACTTTCGAATGGTATTTAGGCACGAAATTGGCATATGAACTATTATAACAAGTAAAATCATCTGGAATTTAAGAGGGTTTTTTTCTCTCTGTCTTTTTGCCATGAACCGCGAGACCCACCGTTTTGTATACTGAACTATTGTTTTGTATATTATATTGATATTTTCAAAAATATCGTTTTGTATATTGACAAATTCTAAAATGTCGTTTGCACACATACATATTACCATAATACCGTTGTGTAAACTGAAATGTTACCAAAATATTGTTTTGTATACCGAAATATTAATAAAATATCGTTTAGTGTACCGAAATAATATTTTTGTATACCAAAATGATAAGAATTAATTTTTGATGCCGAAATATTAAAATATAATATGTTTTTGTATATGCCGAAAAATTAAAAATATCGTTTCATAATGTTTTTCAGAAGATGGTTCGTGTCACTTTATCAGCTCTGCTGGTCATCCTAACCTACTTGCACAATGGTGAGTTGCTAGACATACTCGTTAGCTGGGAATTGCTTAAATACATAAAGAATTGGTGTAGCAGATGTTCGTCTAGCTTCCATTTCGTGACAAGGAGAAGGGTCACCTGTTCCTCCCCACTGTCATGGGTCTCTCGCTTTCCTCTCCTCTCCCCAGCACTCTTCTTGTACTTGCTGTTAGTAGCCATTAAATAGACACTGTAGGGTTGAGATCAGTTATGTACACATGGACACACTGGCGTTATAAGCATGTCATATTGGTTACTATGCTTTCCCACATGCACTCGAAAGACAACACATATTTTTTTTAATAACTGGACAAACTGCATCTTAGGTAAAGTCTTAAGTGACACCTGATAAAATATGTTAAAATTATTCATTTATGGAGTAAAAAACAGAATATTTCATACTAAACGAATCTAACTTTCTTACACGTCCCCGCCCTCAATTCACTTTAGGAATCCTACATTACTGGTTGATTTGCCGGACACGTATACTTACTGTGAACAGAACATCATGTACCACACTTATATCTTAAGCCGAGAGAGAGAGAAATGGGGTTTACCGTCCACTCGATACAAACTAGGTCATTTCGGGACTAACGTTCAATTTTATTTCATTAATTCGCTTGCGCGTATGGGGGTCTTTAGCAGTGGGAGGAAACCGGAGGACCCGGAGAAAACCCACGAGGTTGGACAGGAGACTCAACTCCTTGCCACGCACAACCGGGGAATCGAACCTTGTGATACAATGCACAAACGCTAACCATTCGGCCATGGTCTTTAACAGTGAGATGAAACTGGATGACCCAGAGAAAACTCACGAGGTTGGACAGGCAACCCTACTTCTTGTCACGCCACTTGACTCAATGGCAGACCTTATCATCCAACGCACACGCGTTAACCATTCGGCCACCCAATCCCCCCATGCAGAGAACAGAAGTAAACAGTGGTCCCGTGTAAACGATGTTGGACTTCGAGGGAGAGAAGGCGGAAAAGTCGCGGACCGGGCACCATTTCTCTCATAGGACACTGTTTGGTGTATACCCTTCGTCATTATTTCGATTAAAGCCGACGAGTAGGACGTTTAACCGTATTCAATTCCTTACTAAAATGCAAGTAGATAAGTTTAAATTATTTTTAATTATGTTTTGTTTTCAGCATCATCAAATCTTGGTACAAGTTTTCTAGTCACGTGTCCTGATAGTCTTCTAGCTTCCGCATACATTGAATATATGCTGTACGTCAATTCACCGGACAGTTCAACAAACATTGTAGTCGCCACGCCCCTATTGGGCTCGAATATTTTTACCGGAAGTGTGGGACAAGGCGAATCGAAAGAAATTCTCTTGTCAAGCACCTACATGATCAGAGGGACGGGTACATCGTCGTACGCCGTGGTGATAAACTCGACCAGTGACGTGTCTGTTTATGTCGTTTTGAAACCAGGTGGTGATGGGTATATGGCGCTACCCGTCGATGCATTGGGTACAGAGTATTACGTAATGACGTATTGTGATCATCCGGGACACAAGCCGTGCGAGTTTACAATTACAGCAGCCGAACCAAGTACACAAATCGAGGTCACACTCTCTATTATCAACACCAGTGCGACCGTGAACCTCACTGGAACCATTTACAGGCATGGCGACGTCATCACAGAAACGTTGATACAATATCAGACGTTACAGATACAATGTGACTATGATCTGACCGGAACTTTAATCGTAGCGAATCGCAGAGTGGCCGTCATTGGTGGGGGTGCAGGATCCACCGTGTCACTTGGAGCAACGCCGGGAGTTCTTCTGGAGCAGTATCCCCCGGTCTCTACGTACGGAACAGAAATACTCGCCATACCATCCCAATTTGTGAAGTCCGCCCCTGGAGATTATTATCGCATCCTGGTGGCCCATCCGTTTACAACCATCCAGATTGGAGTTCAGAATCGTAAATTGATCCGAGAGGCTGGGGACTGGTTTCAAACAAATATCTCCGATATCAGCGTCATCTCCTCTGATAAACCAATTGTTGTGGCACGGTTGACGCTAAGTTCGGAAACTGTGCCCAGTGACGAACGCCCTACCCTGATGATCTTAGTGCCCATCGAACAATTTTTACCTAAATCGACAAGCGTGCTGCTTCCGAAAAGTAACACACCGGATAATAAAGTAATATTAGTATCCAAGACACCAGGACATACTTCAATACAAATCAACTCCAATTTACAAGATCTGGGTTGGACTCCTGTAGCCGGCGCCAATCTTGTTATTAAATATTACACAACAAACGCCTTTAACGCCCAGCAGATATCGAGCCCCCTGGCGTCATTTACCGTTTATTATCAAACCAACTCTGATGAATATTCCACAAGTTATGTTGGTGGAATGATGTTTAATGTCTCTAATCCTGTAAGTAGATTTTTGTTAGTCTTCTAATAGTCCGGATGCAAATAGCCATCACTCGTCAGCATCACCCCGTCAATCTCGTCTCATTAACACAGAGAGAGAGAGAGTGAGAGAGAGAGAGAGGGAGAGAGAGTTTAACGTCCAATCGACACAAAATGTTGGGGATTAACTTATGGTTCAATTTTATTTCAATAGTTCGCTAGGGGTATTTAGCAGTCAGACGAACCCAGAGGTCCCGGAGAAAACCAACGAGGATGGACAGGTGACCCTACTCCTTGTCACGTACATACATGCGGGAAATCGAAACCACGTGACTTGACTCAATGACGGACTTTATGATGCACCCTCCCTCCCCCACGACCAATAACTAAACTTTAATTAGGAGACTATTTTCAAGCAGGTTGGCGAGTTGGATAACTTCCAAGCAGGTTGGCGAGGTGGATAACTTCCACACTCACCGTTAGCCACTCCAATGGATAGGGTTAAGGGTACACGTCTTGGTGTATGAGGTGTTACAACAAATATTGTCTTGAAAAACGAGACTTTACAGCAAATATCAACTGGATTCACAGGGTTTTGCACCTAATATTGACTTGATGTACGAGGTTTTTACAACAAATGTTGTCTTGATGTATGAGGTTTTACAACAAATATTGTTTTGATATACGAGTTTTACAACAAATATTGTTTTGATATACGAGTTTTACAACAAATATTGTTTTGAAATACGAGATTTACAACAAATATTGTTTTTATATACGAGTTTTACAACAATTAATATTGTTTTGCTCTACCAGGCTTTTACATTAATAATTTCCTCGCGCTCTTGGTAAAATAAAAGTATTATTTTTATGTACGAGGTTTTACACCTAATATATCTCCATGTGGGTGGTGGATGGTCGAATGGTTAGCACGTGCGTGCTGTATCATAAGGCCTGTCATTGAGTCAACTGGCGTGGTTTCGAATCCGCGGTTGTACGTGACAAGGAGTGGGGTCGCCTGTCCAACCTCGTGGGTTTTCTCCGGGTCCTCCGGTTTCCTCCCACTGCTAAAGACCCCTACGCACAAGCGAATTATTGAAATAAAATTAAACCATATGTTAATCCCGAAACCTAGTTTGTGTTGAGTAGACGTTAAACCCATCTCTCTCTCTCTCTTTCTCTCTCTCTCTCTATCTCCCTAGCGATGTTTCGCTATGCATATAAATTTTACTAATATAAAGTGATATTACGAGGAACTGAAACAGTCAATCTGATTAAAATATAGATCTATATTTCGTTTCGTTTTTTTATACTTTCGATGGCCAAAACTACATGAAGATCTGGCCAGTTCTAGAGATAGGTCGCGTCAGAGGTCATATCAGCGGCTTTTGACCATATGACGTCAGACATTGATTAATCAACCAGCATTGGTTTATCCACAGTTCCGTGCATCGCACGCCAGGAACTCACCATAACAGACCGTTTCATTGGCTAATCCCTCATATTAATCAAAACGCGGCTTATATAACAACTCTTCCAGACCCTGGTGTTCTGAAGACAAGTAAAACGAAATTTTGAACTATAAAAAAAACTTAAACGAAATAGGATCTGTGTTTTAACCAGATTACTGAACCAGTGTGCGCCCAGCCTTGGTCTTTTGAACAGCCGATGCAATCCAATTATAAAAAATGTTAAAAGGATTTAAAGTAAACCTTGTTGTAATCGCTTGACAACCTTTTATGTCTCATGTTGTGATGTGACATTATTTATTTGTAGCTGTGTATTGTGAGTGACACAGGCCATGGTGATACAGTAGACAACGACTGTGATGGTTTGATAGATGAAGACATCTGCCCTTTTAATATAGATCAAGCAGGTAATGTGATAGTTTTCCATGTCTTTGATCACCCACACTATAAAACCCTCCATATACATCTAGTGTATCCTAGTGTATCACCCACTATAAAAGAACATTGGGCAAAAACATTACTCCATTGTAAAATAGCACTCACTGTAGAATAACATTACTCCCACTGTATAATAATCTTACAACACCCACTGTATACTAACCTTACATCACCCACTGTAAAATCACACCCACTGCAAACTAACCTTACACCAACCCACACTGTAAAAACCTTACATCACCCACTGTAAAATAACCTTACATCACCCACTGTAAAAACCTTACATCACCGACTGTAAAATAACCTTACATCACCCACTGTAAAATAACCTTACATCACCCACTGTAAAATGACCTTACATCATCCACTGTAAAATAACCTTACATCACCCACTGTAAAATGACTTTACTTCACCGACTGTAAAATAACCTTGCATCGCCCACTGTAAAATAAACTGACGTCCACATTAAAACAACCCTTACACTACTTTAAAATAAACCATACACCTACGTTCATAGAACGACACAATCTTGTTATAGTGGTACAATTGCTAGTTTGTACTATTCGAATATTCAAAATTTTACATTTTCATATTTCTAGAACTTATGATCTTTTTTTCAAATCAATATATTAGCCCATATTTGATTTTAGCAATTTTTTAAGTTTACTAAAACAAATTATTCTTTTTATTTTACAAATATTGTATAGCAGACAAAACAATGAAATGTTTATCAAATAACCAAATTCGTCGAAGTTTTTATATACAGTTTTCATGTTTTCTCTTTTCAGTATCTGGTCAAGACTGCAAGGAATTCGTGTCAGGTTTGTTGTGTATTATTTCTATTATTCGGCCCTTTTCGAAGACACCCAAATATCCACATACACACACTCCTGGTTATACGTCCAAATGAGAGACTAAAATCGAACATAACAAAATGTGTATGATATTGACATTCAGCTTCTGCTGTGCTGTATATAAACATTTCTCTCTGGTCACTGAAGGGGGCGGAGTGGGATGGGAAGAGGGCGGGACTGAATGGTCTCACGCATTTGATCAGAGGGTCTGTCAATGACATCCCTTTCGGATGGAAAATACACCGGGTATTCGAAATGTGATTGACATTCCCTTTCGGATGGAAAATAAAATGTGTATTCCGATAATTAGACGTCTAACTGCAAGAACTGATGTAACCAACTTTACATGGCAATCACAAGACATTCCTGTATTGACCACGTGGACAGCTATCCACGAGCTTAGCATTATATATATAACTGGTCGGTTAAAATATTCTCGGGATATTTCTGGAAATTTCGACCACAATCCCGAGCTGTCAATAAACTATAGCAGACATTAAAATTGAGAAACTCGGTACTATGATAAAGGCCTATTGGCAGCTATTGCTGCTATGAAAATGAAATGGGGTTTAACAATCTACTTCTCTGTACCAGCCTGGCAAATGACGATGTGTATACGCCATGTATGGTTCTATGAACTCAGTTTTGCCCGAATAGCGTAGATTCCGCCAATTCCTCATCGAGTTGCAACTGTCAAGATTCTTTTACGTGCACACCAACGTCGGTCCTGCACCACTGATAAAGGGATTCCAAGCTGCAAAAGCCCGTGTATATTTCGTCCTAGTAGCTCCTGGTTAATGTGTCAGCGCCTTACTCACAGTCCGCAGTGGCTTCTGTGACGGCTGTGAACTGTGCATGCAGAGAGACCAATCTAATGAAAAAGGGCATACGCCATGTACTGTTCTATGAACTCAGTTTTGCCCTAATAACGGCGATTCTGTCACTTTCAAATTACAACTATCAAGTTTCTTTTACGTGCACTCCAACGTCGGCCTGTACCACTGCTATAGGGATTCCAAGCTGCAAAATTCCGCGGACCTTACTCGGGCTCTCCTGATTAATGAGTCGGCGCATTACTCAATAATCGGCAGTGGCTTCTATGACGACTGTGCACGCAGAGAGACCAATCTAATTCTGTGATTCCTAAGTACGCCAATAAAAATGAAAAAGACATTAAGTGGGGTTTAACAATAGATGTACATTTTAGATGACCAAATGAAATGAAATGGGGTTTAACGTCCACTGTTCTGCTACGACTGGCTAATGTAAACGGGGGCCCCAATAAACAACCGTTTCTCTATGACATTGATTCTTAACGTGTTTTGCCAGCGGCACATCTTGGAACACATGAAAAAATTGCGGCACACCTGGCTAAATATATATGAAAAATATTTCAATTTTGCAAAATAAAAACATGGCAAGCCAGACGGCATACAACCGTAAACAGAGACTAGTCATAGACACATAGAATGACTCAAACTAAATAAAGAAAACAGAGCTATGAACTTATCAGCAGACACCAGTGAATACTCATTTGGGATCACTGGTTTTTCGCATTTTCTTAGTGTGCCGATTCAAAATTTCGCGGCACATTTAGGTAAATCTCGCAGCATACTAGTGTATGGTAATGTATCATCGATTCTATCGGCAATATTGATTTCTTTAAATCTATAAACTCACGAAATAATTGCCAAGTCTTCACTAATTATTTGTCTTGTCGCCAATTTATGAACGAGGTGGGAGCCATTTAGGCCCAGTGAGTAAAACGTCGACTCGCTAACATGAAGGTGAATCCGCGTTCGATCCCTACGTTGGCCGAGAAAGTTCGTCGGGGTCTGGTACGGGACCAAAACCGAAGTCCCGTGTAGACGTTGGCGTGAACGTAAAAGAAACCTCGGAATTCGATATAATAGTAGGTCGTAGCGCCGCTAACGGGCACAATTCACTCCAGAACAGTAGAACGTTAAGCCCCATTTCATTTATGGGAGAGAGAAGTCGGGTTTAACATCCACTCGACACAAACTAGGTTATTTTGGGACTAGATATGTTTCAATTTTATTTCAATAATTCGTTTGCGCGTGTCAGGTACAACCGGGAATCGAAACCACGCCAGTTAACTCAATATGAAGACCTTATGATACAGCGTGCACGCGCTAACCATTCGGCCATCGAACCCCCCTCATTTCATTTATGAACAAAGAACATATTGTTGTGGTTATTATAGAAGAGGGGATCACGTGGCTAAGTGGGTAAGACGCTAGCTCGCTAGCTTGGAGGTCGGATGTTCGATCCCTGCATTGGCCGAGAAAGTTCATCCAGATTTTCCGGCGTGGTTCTCCCTTGTCAGTGATGCAGGACGGAGGGGCTGACAAGGAAAGCTGTCTAGTCGTTCGGATGGGACGGAAAACCGAGGTCCCGTGTACACATTGGCGTGCACGTAAAAGATCCCCTGGCAGTTGGAATTCGATATAAGAGTAGGCCGTAGTGCCGCTGTCCGGGCAAAATTTCCCTCATAGCACACTGTATGGCGTATGCCCGTCTTCATTAGCCCAGGTTAGGAGCAGAAAAGTAGGACGTTAAACTCCATTTCATTTCATTTCATTTATTATAGAAGAAAACTAAATCAGCAGTCAAAGATCACAAAGTCAGGAAATGTCTACATAGCCCATTTAAAATGTATAAACCTATATTTTGAGCTTTTTCTTTCAGGTGAACGAGATTCATATGGTAGAAGATTTGTTATGGCATTCCCTGGCAACATGCAAGTAATTAATATGGATGCTTTATATTTGGTGTTCTCTAGTCTGTCATCTTTATCTGTAACGGTGACAGTTAAAACACCACTTGATGATACCAGGCTGCTTATCTCTAGAACCTTCCAGACTAGTGACTATATTTCCTTCTCTGATGAATTGGAGATGCATGGCGAAGGTGTATCTGATTTAGGAATACTAATAGAGGCCAGTGAAGAAATAAGCGTGTATTCGATGTCTGTTAAAAGCGCAAGTGACACGTCAGCAGGGGCGACTCGTCTGATTCCAACTGAATCCATAGGGAAGGATTACTACGCAGTAACCACTTGTCTAGTAGGCAGCTGTCAGATCACGATTGTGGCAGATCACCCAGCAACAATAGTAAAGGTCCGCCTACATTTCAGCGATTCTTCCGCGCGATTGCAATATGGCGGCCAGAATTACTACAGCGGGGACTTCATCACAGAAACATTATCACAGTATCAGGTTTGGCAATTACAGAGTATCCATGACTTAACCGGGACTCGGATATTGGGGAACAAACCGATTAGTGTTTTTAGTGGTGCTAACTATACCCAATTTAAAATCAAACAACAAAAGGACCAAATGGTAGAGCAGTTATTTCCGGTCAATGCTTGGGGGAAAGAGTTCATAGTTATCCAGACCGCAGGGAGAATGGGAACGACGAATTGTTATTTCTCAGTGCCATCATGCGCTGATACCGTGAGGGTAATCGCTGCAGAGGCAAACACCGCATTAACTATTAAACACGGATCCAATGAGATAGGATCGACCTACAATTTAGACCTTCCCGGTGACTGGATACGTTTTGATCTCATAAATGACACGGCTTACATAACGAGTAACAAAGGTATATCGGTGAACCAACTCATGTCCGATGGTGTGAAAGGCGATGCCGCACTTCTAGTAATAGTTCCAGTTGAACAGTATGCGAGCATGGACATCCTTCGAAACGTACCTGATCCTGAACCAGCAATAAATAATTTGATGCTATCAACCGAAACCGATTTTGAATCTTCTATATTTGTAAATAGTAATCCTATAATTCCTCCATGGGAGACCTTGCCCGGTGGTAGAAGCTTTTACCGGACGGAAGTAACCGACACCGAAACACGTGTGTCGACGGCGAACTCGTCAATACGTGTTGGTGGTTATTTGTATGTGAACAAGGTGTCTGTTTTCAGTTCCCACATTTTAAACATAGCCTCCTTTTTCCTTTGGATAAATACGGTAGGTATTGGTTGAAACTAGCGCTATATAGAGAGATAATCTGGCCATGGTCGCCAATATTTATTACCCAATATATAAGTTTAGTAGGTGATCAGAGGAAATGAACGTATAGTACTGGCTCAGATGCGGGAACTGTGTAAGATAATAAGCCAAAGAGACATTGATTACCCAATGACCAGACTCTCTCAGTAAATCTGGCTCTGGTTTAAACGATCTTTATTTAACATACCCGCAAATCCTGCGTGGACCAGTGACGGATATACAAATAGACTTGGCAGATTGAAGCCTATCGCTCTAAGATCTAGGGCTAAGTGAGAGGGACGCAATGACAAAATTGGCGTCATGGTTTTGAGTTTTTGCGCCCCTTGAGTTTTCGCCCCCCCCACCCCCCCGTCGCAAATGGCAAAAATTCACGCGGTTTCAATGCGGTTTTCAGAAATATAATTATAATCATAATGCACAACTGGTGTCAATCATAACAAAACTATACAGTTATATGGGACAACAATCACTGGTTTATTATACACAGGCACGACGTTTCATATACCGTGCGTCAGATATACTACAAATCGACCCTGGCATGTTCCACACAGCCCAATATTACCCGGTGGCACTGGGAGGGATTGCCACCCCACCCCCTCCTCCACACACACATATACATGTTGTCTATTGGGGGCCCTGAAGGGATCTTGTTCCTCATGCAAAAACATGGGTCACCATGCCCCTGATCTAGGGGGGCTCAGGTCAAGGTGTGTCATATTTGTGACACGGTGGCAAGCCTGTCTTTCACGCACTGTCGTCTAAAACATTAGTCAACTTTCCCGGATATGCTAAATCTGTTAAAATCACAGTTGGATTTTTCTCTCGTTGTGATGTTTGGGGAGGGGGGGATTGGGATTGCTTTCGTCTAAATCCGGCACTGGCGTATGTACCGTCTTCATTAGTCCAGACGGTGCAGAATAGTAGGCCGTTAAACCCCATTTCATTTCACTTACCCACAATGATTGTGTATTTATGTATATTCTAGCCGTGTGAAATAACGGATGCTATTGCCGGTGATGGTATAGATAATGACTGTGATGGTGCCATTGATGAAGAACCATGTGATGAAACGTCACCAGAAGGTATCTTTGCTTTTAATAAATAATTTAATCTTAGTAGTGCGCGTTGTATCATACGGTCTGTCTTTGAATCACTTGACAAGGATTAGGGTCGCCTGTCCAACCTCGTGGGTTTTTCCCGGGTCCTCTGGATTTCTACCACTGCTACGCGCAAGCGTATTATTGAACCATATGTTAATCCCGAAATGACCTACTTTGTGTCGAGTGGACGTTACCCCCCCCCCCCTATCTCTCTAAAGGCCCAATATAGGCCATTGATATCTAGCACATAAGAATAGAGTGATAATAGTTGTAGATAGTGATTTGATATCGTCCTACGTTTCTGCACAACTAGGGTAATGAATACGAGTGGCCTTCGCCATTCAGTCCACTATGAGGGCGATTTTTTACCGGACAGCATCGATTTTCTTTTGAATGCTCGTCAGTCTGTACGCTATATCTCGTGTTGTCGTCCCATCCATAACAGAGGCTGTCATATAGAAGATAGTTCCCTAATATGATTGTTGGTATATACTGATCCACAGCCACGTCCTTGATTCACACTGTATATCTTTTCATAATGATGTATTATGTTTTTAGACTCTGATATGGATGGAATGTTTAATGAAGATTGTGTACAACCATTAGGTAATATCAACATTCATTACGCTTCTTACGATTGACCTTTCTGTCAGAGACCTGTAGCTCCTCACATTTTTTAAAATGACGTAACCTTAGACAACATTGACGCGCCTTAGACATAAACAACGATCCATCTACGTCATACGTCATTATGATCACTGCCCTAGTTAGCCGCCATTTAAAACGCCCACGGCTTTATGTACATAACAGAGTAAAAATAACCCGTTCAAGCACGTGTTTTATGTAAACACATGTCTTTAGCAAAATGTCAACTTCTGCCAATCCGGTAAAAGCGATATATAATATGTGCTAGTTGGTAATATTGCAATACATTCTTTGTCATTGTAAACTGTCTTTAGAGTTTCAATCTGTTTATCTTTCAAAACAAGGTTAGATACTCCTGAATTTGTCTTCGCAAACAAAACCGCCTCTTTGAAATTACCTTTTATGGGCGCCGCCATACTGAATAATTAGAGGACTATTTTGTGATTCGGCTTTGATTAGTTTGACATCTTTCATACACACAGCGGCTAAATAAACATATTTAATTTCATTCAATGATAATAGAAAAGAAATAAATACTCCTAAAAATTACTAAAAGCATACTCAGTGTTTTCGACTAAAATCGTCGATGTAGGATTTAAAATGTCGGGTAATTAGCTTATGGCCTGTTCTCAGGCGGAGCTAGCTGTAGAGGGGCAGCCTAAGTTTGGGATGGTGTGAACGATGCTTTACCATGACTGCTAACGTTTCAAAACAAGACAAAATGTCAACAATGTCTTAGATGAAGAAGCGTGGTACATTGATGTCATTTCACGGGAAATTGCAAACGAAGCGGATTGGTTAAAACCCTTTTGTGGGCGGAGTCGACGGAAAGGTCAATTACTGATGATTAAATCATTTTTAGACTGAATTAGAAAGCTAGATCTGGTTGAAGACGATTCTTAGCTGCATAGAAGATGTTGAGGGGGGGGGGGAGTCTAGATATTTACACACATGGCTGATCGATGGTTCTAAACTGCATAGATTGGGGATGGGGGTATTAAATGTGTTATGGCTTATTTAAGTTATAAACTGTATAGATTGGGGGTGTACTAAATGTATTACACAATTATGGTTTATTGAAGGTCTAAACTATATAGATGGGTGCGGGAGGGGTTTTCTAGCTGTGAAACACATGGTTGATGGACGGTCTCAACTATATAGATGGGGAGGGGTGTACTAGATGTATTACACCTAGCTGATTGATGGTCTCATTTATATAGTTGGGTGAGGGGTTTGCTACCTGTGTAATTCATGGTAGATGGACTGCTTAAATTGTTTAGATGGTGGGGGCGGGGTCTTCTGAGCACTAGCTGAGTAACACATGCATGGTTAAAGGCCGATCTTTTTTCCGCTATGAATTGAATTGGCCCTACTACCCGCCCCCCTCCTCCCACTCCCTCTCTCTTTCTCTCTCTCCGGTAAAGTGATGTTATCGTTTTTGTGTTTCTAGATTCGTCGACAACTTTAATATCTAGTTCAACCGATTTATCCACAAGCCAGGACATTTCTCCCAGTACATCTTTGATAGCAACCGATTTATCCACAAGTCACGACGTTTCACCCAGTGCATCTTTGATAGCTACCGATTTATCAACAAGTCAGGGCGTTTCACCCAGTACATTTGTGATATCAACAGATTTTTCTGGTACTTCGTTTACCAGTAATATTTTGCCAACAGCAACCCAGATTTCCTCATATTTATCAAGCTATGCATCAACAGAATTGCTACCGACACCATCGACAGCCACATATGTGGACCCAAATTCGTCATCATTTGGATATGTTTCGCAAACCTTGCCATATAACAATGCAACTATTAGCTCTCATCCGTCATCAGTTTTTGTGATGACGTCAGGGGAGTCTGTGTGCAGTTGTGGGTGTATCACGTGGTCAATAACAACGACACTTGCGTCACAGAGTTTGGTGGAGGTAACTGACAGTATCAAACAAGAGCTGACAGTGGATGCCAAGGAAGTATCGCAAACGAAACGAAAATATATCAGCGTACCCGACCCTCGAATCTCTGCCCAGACTGTGGGATATTTTGGAGTTGCTACCATCTCGTGTATATTTATTGGTATTGTCATCCTAGATGCTGGAGCCCTCTTTAAAGATATCGTAGCCTTGATACAGACATGTAAAGAGGTGGCCCGGAAGTGATGAGTTGTTAAGTGATGTGTATAAATAGCGGAGCAGGACTCCTCTGATATCAATCAATGGCACTCGAATTTGTAGTCTTGGATATCCAGCTAACCATTTCTTCGGAAATGAAATCGGATTCAGCGTCCTATTTTTATGAGCCAATCGGATTCTTTTACGTGTACACGTGACGCCAGTCGACTAGACTAGACTGCTGCCTATAATAGGCTACTTTCGATGTGCCTGAAGCATCATGCATTTGTAAGGAACTTCCCCGTTTTTGACAAAGACATATGCGTGCTTATATTGGACCACTTGGTGATATAGGACAAGTCTCTGTGGTGAAAATAGATAGAATAAAAAAAATCAGTTAAATACTGTTAAATTTTCCGTTCTTCAGAGGAAGCGGAAATCGGTTGTTTTTATTTTAATGTGATTTGTTGATAAGAAGTAACGTATAGACACGGTAGGCTATTCATTTGGTGACGGAACGCAGCTAGTCCATTTTATGACTGAACAGTGCTAATTCATTGTTTTGTTTGAACAGAGCTAATTCATTATTTTGACTGAACAGAGAAAATTTATTATTTTGACTGAGCATAACCGATTCATTATTTTGACTAACAGAGATAATTTATTATTGAATTATTTTGACTGAAGGGAGCTAATCCATTTTGTGATTGGACGGGTGCCAAGGGGTCTCAGCATGTCGGACATCGGCTCATTAACCAGGAAGTCCCAAGACTGAGAAAGCTCCTCGGAATTACCCAGCGTTGTTTCCCCATGTCAGTGATGCAGGGCGGATGTGACGAACAACCGAGGTTACGTGCCCGGTTGGGACAGAAAAGTAGGAAGTTAAACCGTTTTCAGGGACAACTCCCACTATACCCTATTTTCCCTTCATGTCCAAGTTGGACCTCTAAAACATCAATGAAATATTGTATGCCTTACTCATGTATAATTTTGGTTACCTAACTATTTACTAACTACATTCTGCTATCTATTAATACAGAGTGGAATAGCGGGGTCAGCTTTGTAATAGAGTGATACCGAATTCAAACAACAGATAAACCAATTTATTATCCCGGAGGGGATCACGTGACTAAGTGGGTAAGACGCTGGCTTGCTAGCCTGGAGGTCGGGTGTTCGATTCCTGCATTTGCCGAGAAAGTTCATCCAGATTTTCCGGCGTGGTTTCCCCTTGTCAGTGATGCAGGATCGAGGGCCTGACAGGGACAGCTGTCTAGTCGTTCGGATGGGACGAAAAACCGAGGTCGCGTGTACACATTGGCGTGCACGTAAAAGATCCCTTGGCAGTTGGAATTCGATATAAGAGTAGGCCGTGGTGCCGATGTATGGCGTATGCAAACTTTCTGTAATAGGGTAATAACAAACACAAGGACAACAACGTATAATCTCGCAATAAGTATACTTTTACGCCATATAATAATAATAAGATACGTAAAATTCACCATTGCATTTTTATATATTGTTTTGTGACCTGGTTGGAACAGTCTGTTCTTTAAACCTCTCATTGCCTTCTACTCCTCATTTTCAATAATAAATATTAATGTACCTATCCTTGATTGAATAGTGATTCATTAATTGTAATTACATTTTACCAGAATTAAGCTGTCATACTGGGATTAATATTTTACAAGTAATTAGATAGATACATGCAACAGGAAATGAGACAAAGTTCTACTAAATCATTGACCTTCTTGCGGAAACATCTCGGGTGTACGTACTGAAATGAAATGAAATGGGGTTTAACGTCCTACTGTTCTGCTCCAACTGGACTAATGAAGACGGGCATACGCCATACAGCGTACTATGAGGGAAATTTTGCCCTGACAGCGGCGCTACGGTCTTCTCTTATATGGAATTCCAAATGCCAAGGGATTTTTTACCTGTAGTAGTACGTATTAGTTCGTGGCCTTTCCCTATTGTTAGGTTAACCACCCTTGGCAATAGACAGGCTCTACATGTTAAAACACGATTGTAATGTTTACGATGACTTTAAATTTACGTACAAATTGTTGTTAAGTGTTAAAACACGATTGTAACGTTTTTGATCTAAATTTGTTAACTTTTGTAAGTGTTAAAAAGAAGAATATAATTTTTTTTAACTTTTAATTGTTAAAATAATATTGCAATAAATTAAACATAAACTAGTTTACTTTTAAGTGTTAAAATAAGATTGTAATATTTTTGACTTAAGATTGTTAACTTTTAATTGTAAAATCTTTTGACTTTAAATTGTCCAATGCTTCGATTTGCTAACTGTTAAAAATTGAAATCAGATTGCCACTTTAATTAGAATTGTATAATGCTAAAAAAAATAGTAAACATTCTATAACGCATGGGAAAAGATAAAAAAAACCAAAACAAACCCAACAGCACCCTGTAAAGTATAATAATAATGTAAATATATTTCTGAGATTATGCCGTCCATGATTAGTTTTAATTAATAAAGAAAATAAACGCCAGTAATATTTTCACCTATAATGGCGTTTCCTTTGTATATTTAAACTGTAACCGATAGCAATAAAACATTTACATACTTTGTAGATATTGAAATTACAGTCATTTGTTTATGTAATAAAAGATTTTTGAATTCAGGTAGACTGCCTATTATGTGACACGAGGAAAGCCACCCAAGACTGCATCATGAGCCCCCATTTTGTAGCAGTGGGTGAAGTTTTTTCTTTTACTTTATACGTCATCGTAACCTGGATACTATTATTTTTAGGACACGTGGTAGACTGCCTATCATGTGACACGAGGAAAGCCACTCAAGACTGCATCATGAGCCCCCATTTTGTAGCAATGGGTGAAGTTTTTCTTTTACTTTATACGTCATCGTAACCTGGATACTATTATTTATATGATGAAGTTTAGAGAGAGAGAGAGAGAGAGAGATGAGAGAGAGAGAGATGGTTTAACGTCCACTCGACACAGACTAGGTAATTCCGGGACTAACATATGGTTTAATTTTATTTCAATAATTCTCAGTGGGAGGAAACCAGAGGACCCGGAGAAAACCCACGAGGTTGGACAGGTAAATCTTCTCCTTGTCACGTACAACCGGGGAATCGAAACCACGCCAGTTGACTTAATGACAGGCCTTATGATACAGCGCGCACGTGCTAACCATTCGGCCATCCAACCCCCGTGAAGTTTGGACAGTCGTATGCTCGTCTGGACTACTCTTTAAAGATACATTATAGGAGATTAAAGAGCTGGCGATTCTCACTATAATAGTTAACAACTAGATAATGTAAAGCCAATTTGCTGAAAATTGCAGTCAAATTGATCCACTATGAACCGAGATTTTAGCGATTGAATAGTGGACTAGCCTCGATCATCATTACTAAAGTCGGTAGGATAAAAACATAGTCTCGATTATCCATTTTTTGATTTAATTACGAATGGAAGTCGAACAGCAAATCGGAACGTAATCCAATAAACATCGCAGGCTAGCGATGTCATCCAGAGTTGATTATGATCTGGATAAGTTAATTTTAAATGTCTAATTAATAATTTAGATAACATTTCAGGCCTTAATGAACGACCTGCAATAGGCAGATTTAGCTCTTGCATAATGTATCTTTAAAGTATTGATTGTTCACAGATCAACAAATGAAACACCCTGTTATATAAGAAAAACTAACAATTTAATTTGAACATCCTTCGCCCGGTCCCGGTCTGGGTCATTGTAATCGAACTGTAGGGACACCAGACAGTATCCTAGAGAGTCTCTGGTTCGAATCAAGCCTGTTTCCAACATTGCTCCTGAAGCAACGACCGCGAGTTTTACAAAATCTCGAACAGTCTGAAATTCAGAACTTTGAGGTGCGTTATCCCCCTTTACTGCAGACGCGTTAACAATAATGCTGTCCAATCAAAGGTCGTGATTTAAACACATACCCAAACCAAACATGGCGACCTCCACGCATAAGGGGGTAGAATTGTTTTTACCTGTTGAAAGCTTTTTTTTTTATTCAGTTGAAAACCCAAAGACAAGCAATCGAAGCTGTTTAAGAATTGGAATACGGGTTTATTTGCAGCGACAAGCAACTCGATTATCACAGGTGAACATTTCATAATTGGAAAGTGTAGAGATATGGACAATGTTGGCGCTATACCGTAGTAGACGTGTGGGGATATGGACAATTTTGGCGTTATACAGTAGTGGGTGTATAGAGATGTTAGCGCTATACAGTAGTAGGTGTGTGGAGATGTGGACAATGTTAAAACTGTGGGAAATCAACATCAACTAATCTAATCTCGGTATTTCTGGTTTCGCACACCAAAGACATACAGTTTCCGACAAGACTTTGGCCCTTTGGTCTAAGCACCGCTTTTATGGTTTTATATATAATGTTCCTCTGATATTGTCTGTCTGGCAGTAGAACAACACCAAGTCTCGTAATTCTATATACATTTTATTTTGTATAACTAATATAGAACATCTACATTTCCTAAATAAGAATTTTAGATCATTTCCTATTTTGCTCTCTTCTATGATGACTATTTGTTTGTATTAACATCCTTATATCAGTTACGATTAATTGATTGTCTGTTTTGTTCTAAATGTCCGAACAGCTGAAATGAATGTTCATGGCATTTGTAATGAAAATACAGTTGTCGTTTAAACATGCATTATGCAAGAGCTAAATCTCCTATTGCAGGTCTTTCATTAGGCCTGAAATGTTTTCTAAAGTATTAATTAGACATTAATTAACTGAACCAGGCCTTAATCAACTCTCGATGGCATCAGATTTCTCCGATATTAAATAGATTAGAATGGTTCAGCTATACTTTGATTTAATCAAATATGGTGGACCGAGACTTAGCTTCGATCAACCAGTACGGTGGTTGAAATTATTGCACACGTCTGTCAAACCTTCAAAGCCTAATATCTTCGCTTGCAATAGAGTAATTTGAATCAAATTTTCAAATTATTCATTTTACAACATCTACTTTCGAACTATTATAACAAGAATGGCTAGTTCTTTATCTAAATCTTACATAATGTATCTTTAATTTTCTAGCGATAGTTTCGTACGAACTACATGGGACCGACGTCGCTGTTTGACTCGGTACCCGATTTGATTCGGCTCATTTATTTAGTCGTTCGGATGGGACGAAAAACCGAGGTCCCGTGTACACATTGGCGTGCACGTAAAAGATCCCTTGGCAGTTGGAATTCGATATAAGAGTAGGCCGTAGTGCCGCTGTCCGGGCAAAATTTCCCTCATAGCACAATGTATGGCATATGCCCGTCTTCATTAGCCCAGCAGAAAAGTAGGACGTTAAACTCCATTTCATTTCATTTCATTTATTTAGTATATAAATCACAGAAGTGTACCCAATGATAAGAAGAAGGAATGGCTAATATTAAACCCATGAATTGTTCAAGTGTTTATATTAAAGACATCTGATCAGAGGGGATTAATCAATAACATCACCGAGCAATCATTTTATGTACAAAAACACGCACGTCACATGTAAATCATGTTGTATTTATTTATTTGCAAGACAACATCACATATACAAAGATCATCACAAATACAAACATAATACAGCACAATATTTGTAATTTTGTTCCAGAATTCAAATGACCTTCCATATGTCCTGTATGAAAATAGAATCAAACGAAACTATTACACTTGGTGCGTGAGCATCTTGTCGATTAAAAAATTCTGAGGTAAAGATACAAGGGCATATATTATTAAAAATTGTTGAGGTGAAGATACAGGTGCATATATTATCGTTTGAGGTAAAGATATAAGGGCATATTATTATTTTAATATAGTACATAATTTATTTTAATTTTTTAATCCTAAATCCACCAACAATATATCCATCCTATTTTGAAAATAATTTTTATATTCATCAAGATTGTATATATAACATGTAGAATGTAAGTAAATGGTTTTACAAAAAGAAAAAAAAATATTTAAATTTTCAAAGCATACACATATACAAATAATTTATACAAATATACAAATGAAATGAGGTTTAACGTTCTACCTGTCTGCGCCGACTAGGCTAAAGAAACAAGCATACGCCATGCAGTGTACTATGAGGACAATTTTGTCCAGCCAGCGGCGTTACGGCCTACACGTAGGGCTACATCGAATTCCAACTGTCAAGGGTTCATTCACGAGCACGCCAGTGTGAACACGATGCATCGGATTTTCATACCATCAGAACAACTAGACACTGTCGCCAGATCCTCCGTCCTACACAGCCACTGAGGAACTTTCTCGGCCAACACCGGGATCGACCCCGAGACCGACCTGGTGATACCCCCGTCAGACCTTTGTGGCGTCCTAACTGCGCTGCTACGGCGACGGAAAATGGTCTCAGAGCGCGTCAATATCGCCATATGCGTGGTAAAAGCGTGGTGTAAACGCCAGATATCGTCCTATGGTCTCCATGGTCGCCAATGATCGCCGAGTTACGACGTTTGTTTTCAGCATGTTCAAAGCAAACGCAAAGGTTATGCGATCTGGCCTGGAAAGCTGTGAGAACTCGACTTTTTTCAAGTTTGTAATTTATAGGAACATTTTCTCGCGTTGTGTTCACGTTTGTCGCGACCTTGTGTATTTTCTGGTCGCCATACGGTCGCAGCGTCTTACTCACTGCCTGCTATCCTTATACACTTAACACTAGATTTAATGTTATTGTAACATATATAAATAAAATTCATGAATATCATGAGCAATAAGTATTGTTACATATACAAATATACTACATACACGATACTTCGTCACTGGTTATCAGCTATCCACAAATATAGGATGCTCCACGATGACTAAAAACAAATCTTGAAACTTATTGATAGTTATAACACTATATTAACAACCCTACCCAATTCCATTTCATAAAGAATAGCGAGAGAGAGAGAGAGAGAGAGAGAGGGGGGGGGGTTAACGTCCACTCGACACAAACCAGGTAATTTCGAGACTTACATGGAAAAAACGATCTAAGTCACGTTTTTGTCTTTTCGCATAAAAGGCAGAACAGGCTTTTGGACGAGAATGCTTGGCGCGAACATAAGAACGAGTGGGTTTAATTACAACTTCAAAATGATGTTTTATGCGACTGTTAATTACCAGTGCTAGGGTGACCCGTGCACCGTACAGACAGTTGGTCTCGGCACGGCGAATGTACACGCTTCTGTGTCTTATCTTGAAGTGATTTCTGGCATACACTACGCACTCAGCGGTAGAGTCTATGATACTATAAATATAGCCATCGCACGTGAAATTCTCTACACTTCTATCAACTATTACAGCCGTAAAAAATCTATTGTTGACGATTCTGAATAGCAGTAATATTTAGCTTATTGGTTATTACAGCAGCTTTAGAAATTACGTTCGTTTATTTTTTAAATTAGTTTATCATTAACTGTACCATTAGGAGCTGCATCTTTTGGTTTAGTACAAATAATATCTCTGAAATACTTGCTGTCAAGAACATGATACTAGCAGTAGTTTCATTTTACTTTTAAAAGGTTCTTTTAAGAACTAGGGTTTTTAAAAAACAATTGTTGAGTTGCCTAACGTGCGTGTTTCTAAATTCAATTTATTGTTCCAGTTTTCTGTCATGTTTCGTAAAACAAAAAGTAGTCTTGATTATCCCGGCCTATTAATCAAACGTAGAATGATCGATAGACTGGTTAAGAGAGAATACTTTCAAAACAAGGGCACGTAACGTATTTTTTACTCACACGTGCTCGGATGTTATGGGCGACACTCGGACCATCTTTCAGTGTATTATTTATGGATGATTAAATGGTCATAGCTTATTAAGCACAACATGACCGTTTATTTAGTGACTATAAATGTTTCAAACTGATTTAAGGCTTGGTGTATATATAGATATTGTGGTGTAATTGTTGAGAAATTTGGAGATATTTATTTATGGTGGGTCACCCTACCAGTGCAACAACTGACTTCCACCACTTTTCAGCCAAATTAAGGTCAAATAAAGGTTACGATGGACGTATTTGTCCGGGAGGCTATTCAGAAGGGCCTAGGTTCGATCGTTTTTACCTGCAATTGATTGTTCCACAGAAAGCTTGTACAATTTGCTACCAGATGGCGTCATTAACTGGGTTCGTTGTAAAAGTGACTTAGAGCGTTCTTCCCTGGGGCTCTTCATATGGTTCAATTTTATTTCAATAATTTGCTTGCGCGTAGGGGTCTTTAGCAGTTGGGGGAGAACCGGAGGACCCGGAGAAAACCCGGGAGGTTGGACAGGCGACTCAAGTTGACTCAATGTCAGACCTTATAATACTAGTCATTCGGCCATCCAAACCCCTCCATAAAGAATAGCCTTTCGTGATGCATTTCATAAGACAGACGACAATAACTGACAATAACAATGATGGATCAATTCCTGATCAAATCAACCCCAATCCCTCGTCTGTGGTGATGGTGTTCCAAAATGGATATTTACATCTCATGGACACTAATCAAACACTAACTTATACGATTAAAGATAGCCATGCAAAGCGTGAAAATACGACCATAGATAGATAGCAGCGTATCCGAAAGGAAAACGTGGATGTTGACCAAATATAATATTTTGGCAAAGGGAGCATAACTACAGAATGCTGAATATCGATATGGTTCGTTTCGGAATAGGAACAACGCTTCACACTAAATATGGAACAAAATTCGTTTAAAACTATTGCGTTTACATCGTTTTCGGCAAAGGTGAGTAACTCTGGCACGGAATATCGAAAGAAACTTAATATAATATCATGGCCAATAAAATTCCCACAGAATTTGAAAAAAATACGCTGAAAACTATGGCCGGTTTTAGGCAAAATGGCCATAACTCCAGTAAGGAAGGTCGCGTAACGTTCAATGATATTACAGAGTTTGTTTGTCTATCTATTACCACAATGTTTCACACCAAATGTGAAATAAATCCGTGAGACACAATAGAAGCTATCACGGTCACAGGCCAATTGTTGACGGACGGACGGACGGATGGGGTGACGAGATAATACACCCACAGTACAATGCGAACATATAAAATATACCGACAATGACACTGACGATTCATTTACACGAGTAGTTAACATACAAAATAAACAACATTAGTCACCATCACGAACAATGATTAAAATACAGATCTATATCTCGTTTCGTTTTTTTTATACTTTCGATGGCCTAACACTACATGAATATCTGACCAGTTCTGCTGGAAGTTCGAGCGGCTTTTGACCTATGGCGTCAAAAATTGATTAATCAATCAGCGTTGATGTT